TTAACAATGAATAATGTGACCCAGAAAACAGAGGTCGCAGAATTGATCTGTCACAAGGTCTATCCCACATCCTCTTGGTTTCAATTATCCACCATGCACAGAGAACAAAGCTCAGATTCCCAGGACCCAACACAAAGGTCTGCAATGAACATGCTCACAGCAACTCCATGCTGTTCAGGGGCTACTTCATTGTCATCTTATAAGACACTGAAGATTTTCAGATCTTGGCAATCAATAATAAAGAGGACACCTGTTTCCAAATCTGAATTTGCCTCTGTTTTAGCCATCTCTGTCCAACTATTATGCACTGTGACAGCTTTGTTCTCCTAGCAAATAAGAAATATTTTGGTAGCCTATGTTGTGATTTACACTTGGTAAGTGGCCCTTTATTCCTTGTGCATAGAAATTTAGGTCTTTAAACATGAATCGAAGCAATGAAGCATTTTTGCTAACACTTAATTCTGCTTGTTCAAATCTCTCCCCTACGTATCATCTCGCACCTGATACATCAGAGAGCTATTATAAAATGGACTTTTACTTGTGAGACTTGACTCCCACTGAAACACTTCCGTTGTGTTTGAAGTAGCTTAAAACATGAACATTAACAGCATCAGCTGGTTTAGAATACTTTGCATTTGGTATGAATTAACATTAGTGGTTAATGAGAAATTTGAACAAACTCCAATCCAGCACCTTTTGGAAGTTATTTTAATCCTGCAGTCTAGCTGTGGGCTATGCCTGCAAGAGACATTTATGGAATCTGCGTGCTGAACACCAAAGCCAGGCTTGTTAGAGTTTATGCACATCACAGGCTCGAACTTCCCCAAGAGCAAGTGTGGTCAGGTTAGCATAAGGGTTCTGATGAAAAGCCAGCTACATTCTTACAACCAGCACTAGTTTGTCTTTCTTCCCCCGAGGAAGTATGCAGGCCTACTCACAAATTTCTACCTGCATGTGCAAGATGCTGACGCATCCTTGGAGTGACGCTGGATGTGGATGTGGGTGGGGGGCAGAAGGGAGAGTAAAGACAGTGGCAACAGGCAAAGCTACCCTCTCCTATTTCTTTTAGAGGATCAAGCTTCTGATTCTTCTTGCTCAGTATGTCCCACGCTTCTTGCTGAGTATGGCTGTTGAAGGGGGACTAAATTATTGATTATTATTCAGTTCTAAATACAACTGAAGAAGAAGCCGGTCCCTCTGAACATCATCATCTCATTCTCTCTGCTTCCACAATTACCCCTAAAATATATCCCGTGTTTTCAGACAGTTTCCGTTTTTTCCACCGAATAAGAAATTCAGCTTGTTACCAGCTTCCTCATGTAGCCCGAAACCATGGGGTGTGATTAAGTAAAACCCATGAAATGTCCGTAGGTCGAGTGGCCTAATTTGGGCTGACATTTACTCTCGTATCTGCATCCACTCAGGATCTGAGTGCTTTGTGTCCCAAGAAACACAGGTGCTTGTTCCTTCCAGTTTATAAACACTCCCAGTGGCATAACGCTCTATTTGATCTCCCAGAGACTTCCACAAATAGCCAGTGTATACTGGCTTACAAGAAGGTAGCGACACCCCTGGAACCTACTTTCTGAATCCATCACTATCTGCATGAGATCTATGCAATGGCCTTTATCTCATTGTTGACTGCATATTTTACACACACACACCCAAAATCAGCCATAACTAAAACGAAACTGATGCATTTGGGGCAAAGAAGGCACATGTGCCTTGAGTAAATTAATGATTCTAGAAGCCTGTGAATAGAGAGAAGTGAGGGCATTCCAAAGCAAACGTCTTTGAATTTAAGAGAAAGGAGAAAAGGAGGTGTTCTTTTCCCATGCATTTCTCTCTTCCCTCCATTAATCATGGGTTCTGAAATGTGAAGAATTATAGTAGGGTCTGTAGAACCATGCCTGTGGTTCCAGAAAAGACAAGTTGATGGCTCTTCAGAGAAATGTAATGTTTTCAGGGGCCTTCTCATGAAACCTGTGGTCAGTCTTGAGGGAGAGATGGACTCTGTACAGAAAATTCTTTCCAGATACAAGTTATCTGGAGAACACTTTTATTTCTGAGTCTCCCCCTACCTGCCCCCCTACCCAAAAATCTAAGAAGACAATGATGACCATAAGACACACACTTATTTCCAACACCAAAAAGCATCTATGCATTTTGACCTGTATCAATGTCAGCTGAAGTTTGACTGGATGAGAAAATACTGATAAAGTATCCCTTTTGAAATCTGAACACCCTTGATTTCAGGGTAAAAACTTACAGAATGACTTAAGAACTAAAGCCCTATTTATTTTACTATATGACATGTGACTACTAGTAGAGTATGAATTACTAGTTGTCAAAGATGTTGCTTAGCAGTTAGGAACGTAAATCCCCAAATATAATCATGAGGGATCTGAATTCAGGGTAACCTTGGGCCAAGCACCTACATTTTTAACCAAGATTTCCAACTTAATGGAATTTTCAAAACTTAACAGAGTTTTTGTAACCCATACGCAGATTTCAAGGAAAAAGTCGTACATGACTGACATGTAAATAAGCAATCTTTTTTATTTATTTATTTTATTTTTATTTATTTTTTTTTTTGAGAAAGAGTTTCGCTCTGTCGCCCAGGCTAGAGAGCAGTGGCGCGATCTCAGCTCACTGCAAGCTCCGCCTCCCGGGTTACACCATTCTCCTGCCTCAGCCTCCGGAGTAGCTGGGACTACAGGCGCCCGCCACCATGCCCAGCTAATTTTTCGTATTTTTAGCAGAGACGGGGTTTCACCATGTTAGCCAGAATGGTGTCGATCTCCTGACCTCGTGATCTGCCCGCCTCGGCCTCTCAAAGCGCTGGGATTACAGGCATGAGCCACTGCGCCCAGCCAGCAATCAATCTTAACATGAGAATTGATTTTAAATTGGTATGGCATCCAGAAACCTCATGATTTGTTCTGCCATTTTTAGAATACTAAATGCTCACTTGTCTTTAAGAGCTTATCTAGAGCTATCATATTAAGTTTAGGACTATTCCTCTACCTGAAGTTAAAATAGAATATATTTTTTCTAAAAATGTTAGTGTTAATGGGTTGCTATAGAAATTTTAAAAAGGTTAGAAATGTTTATACTCAAAAACTGCAACCAGGTAGATTATTTTTCTCCCGTAATAAGCACATAGACTTGAAATGTGAATTTTTTTTACAAGCACAAGAGAAAATGAGTATCTCTCAAATAAAAAAATAAAATAAAATCATTGAAAAATAAAAATGAGAGAAACAAGCTCTCCAATTCAAGTAACTGAAATGGACACAATTCTTCCTTGCTGTTGCACCTCGGGGAGTCCCAAGCGGTACAATGCTTTGCTTTCCTGCATTTTACTTCTCAAACTCTCTTCCTGCACTAGACCCTCTGGAGTCTGCCCTTCTTGCCTTCTTCTTCCCTCCTTTTTGGAATTCGACACTTTTTCCTTTGCATCCAGCATGGAGAACTACAACATAGTTGTTTCCGTTGATTGTACTTAATGCTTTTATCACGCCCTCTTAGCTGCCTTCCAGCTCCCATTTTTTAAACAACAGAAGAGAAATGTGCCTCACACAGAAGTCATCTGTTAACTGTGACTCAAGTGGGAGCAACAGAAGCAGACTTCCCCAGGGAAGCACGCACACATGGGCCAGCATCTGGGACAGGCAGCTTGCGCTTACCTTTGCCTGCACTGCTACTTGTGTGAACTACCAGCTTCATCACCACCAAGGGACTGCTCAAATTCTCCTGTTTCCTCCCTAGACATGCCCTTCAATAGATATTAAGATAATTTTTAAACTATTTTTCAGATGCTCAAAATGTTATTGAGGAAAGACCCCAGTTATGTAATTCCAAGATGGTGCACTGACATGACAGCTTCCCATTCCTCCCTCACTGTCTATCTTCTCCATGAAGTATAAGTGAAAGTGGTAACCTGAGTTTAAACTCATGTGCAGACTACTGGGTGCAAAGCAGATACCCAATAAAAACTTACTCAACTTTGTCCAAATTCCCTATCTCCACACCTAACCCACTATTACAGTTATTCATGGATGCCTACAGAGTTCTGTGGAGTTAACTGAAACGGAATAGAGTAGCTATTTAGGTTCCCTCTTTTAACCAAAATCATCACTGAGAATTTTGGTAAATGCCACATGTAAAAGTTTTAAATTTGTCATTTCTGTACTTGCTGTCAAGTTGTAACTCTCAACAAAGTTGTTCTTGAGGGAAAAGGGCTATCTCCCTTTATAAAACTCTGTTTAATTCTAATAACTTTTTACTCTTGATCTTGAAACTCATCATTTGGCCAGAACTGGAAGGAGTATCACCGTAAAATAACTTGCATTTAAAACAGTTAAACAGTAAAAATGCAAAAGAGTTAAAATTTTGATATATTCCTGTAGAGTTTGAAATCTGAATACATTTCCACATCTCTGTAATTAAAGCAGAAATTAGCATTTGGCTGTGCCCAAGGGAAAGAGGGAAACGGGGAAAAAAAGAGAAGCATTTTTTATCATTATTGGTTTGTTGTACACTTCACCCATGCTTTTAAAATGTAAGCAACATTTAATCTTCAAAATGAAAAAAAAAAAAGACAAATTTTTCTAATGCCAAAATATAAGATTAAAATACTTGTAAAATAAAATGTTAGTGTGAAATGGGACTTTTGTTTTTACATCAAAAAGGAAACATTTTAGACTTGCTTTTCTTCTGTAAATCCTCCCATCTCACTAATATTTACAACAATCCAGAGTAGCATTTATGAGACACTGAAAAAGGGAGGAAATCCTTTTTCAAGATATGAAGTCAGAACCTGAATGTAGACGTCGGACACAGAAGTCCTCAACCACAAACCTGTCCTCCAGCTCTAGAGGGAGTAAGGCTGTATTACCAACCTTGAGATTTTTCATTACATTTTCCCCTTATTGGGTGTTAAATTCTTTCCAAGAATGTTCTACTTGTAAAAATGATTTTATTCTAGCTACGAAACATTTCATTTAAGAAAACCACATTTTACATCCTTGTGTGAAATGCTGCCAGAAGCCATCAAGATATGGAGACATCAGATTTTAAAAACATAAATCTAATCATATGCCCTTGAAACAGTATGAACATTTAACAGAGTGACATGATATCATTATTACATTTGTTTGTCATGAGATGAAAGGCCTGGAGGCAGATGGTGATTAACAATAGTTCCTGAGCTTCTAAAGAAATTTTAAAATGAAATGACTAACTGCTTAAAATAATGAATTCTTCGAGAACGCCCCTTCTGTTTCACTGATGTCTTTCATCCCATCTATCTCCTTAAAGAATCTCAGGCAGAAAAAAAAAAAGCGGGGGGCTTCTTTTAAGCCACTGAAAAATGGGATCTGATGGAATCTTCCCGTAATTCCCGATGTTTTCCAAGGTTACTTTCTTCTTGCTGGTTTCGCCTCTCAATGGTTATTCTGTATTTCTTCCTGGGTAAAGGGAAAGTGAATGTCGTAATAAAACTTGCTACAAAATACCACGGTTTCTCTTACAAAGAGTGCCCTCAAGGGACATCTGGGTTTGAGTTGATAAATGAGAAGTGACAGAATATGAAACCCTGGTCAGAGATTAAAGTAGTGTGCCCCCAGGCGTGATGCCCTTATTCAAGAGAGAAAATTGGCATGCTTTTCCAAATACCACAGAACAAGCCTTCCCCTTCTTCCCTGGGTGCCTTGGGGGTTAGGTCTTGTCTATTCGGCTACAGAAGTTCTCCCTGACTCCCAGGATATGTCCTAGATAAAAATCAAATTACGGGTACTGTGGCCAAAGGAACAGGAATACAATGTTCCCACAAAGGGTCACATACGCCTAGTTACAATCCCATGCAGAAATAAAGAAACCTTGCTCTAATGACTCACGAAAAAACCACAAACTCAACCACCAAAGATGACAAAGGAATGGACCACCCTTACGGGGCAGAACGATCGGTACCTTGAACACACATACATTACTACAATTTTGCAAGCCTTGGAGCTTAACCACAGTGGCAGATGAGCATGTGGGCTCTCCAGATACTGAGCACAGATCAGCCTGAGAGCATGGGCTATGCAAAGCTCCCTCCTCCTCTTTAAGGTGAGCCCCGGCACCTAATTCTGAATTGGAGAAAGCCTGAGAAGGGAGAAGTTTATTTCCCCCTTTATCCAGATTCCCTCCCCAACTGCTTCACTTGGTGGGTGGTAGGAATTCTTGTCAGAATATCTGTGATCAAAGGGTTGGACACAGTGGCTCACACCTGTAATCCCAGCACTTTGGGAGGCCAAGGTGGACGAATCACTTGAGGTCAGGAGTTCAAGACCAGCCTAGTCAACATGGTGAAACCCCGTCTCCACTAAAACTACAAAAAATTAGCCAGCCAAGGTGGTCTGCACCTGTAGTCCCAGCTGCTCGTGAGGCTGAGGCAGGAGAATTGCTTGAACCCAGGAGGTGGAGGTTGCAGTGAACAGAGATCGTGCCACTGCACTCCAGCCTGGGTAACAGAACAAGTGAGACTCCGTCTCAAAAAAATAAAAAATAAAAAATAAAAATCTGTGATCAAAGGGCAGCAGCAGCTCTCTGTCCCACAGTGAGATGTAACTGAAACCCATGACCCCAGCACCCAGTATGCTAAACCACTGACCACCAAACCTAGAGTCACACCAAAAGAATGGCTGAGATTTTTTAACCACTGTGCTTCCTGGGTGAAAGGAGGATGTGGACAAGTCACAAAGAGAATCTAGCAAAAACAAATGACAAAGACAGTAGAAGAGAATGAATTGTACCTTTACAAATGGTCCTCACCTGAAAAAGTAGAAGGCCATTAGCAAGCCAGCTCCTAGTAAGGCCCCCACAACAATTCCTGTCACTGCCGATTCTTCTAGGCCACCTGCTTGAAAAAGAAGCATAGATAACCAGGGTTCATTTTGAGATACAGTTAGAAATTCCTCGAGTTTCATTCATTGCAAGATGTCCCTCGATTTCCCACTGGAGGCAACTTTTCCTTTTTCAGAAATATTTTCTAAGGGACGGTACACTTGTTTTTTGTTTTATGTTTTGGTTTGTTTTTGCCTAGTGCAAAGCTTAAGAACCATTTGAGAAAGTGCTAGATAAACAAGCACACTATTAAGAGTGTGGACACAATGAGAACAGAAGAAAATTCAAGAATCAGAGGAAAACTGGAAGTGAAGAATTCAGATATAGCCACTCTCTTTTGAGTTTAAAGTCAAAGAATTGGGAGGCCAAGGTGGGTGGATCACCTGAGGTCAGGAGTTCGAGACCAGCCTGGTCAACATGGTGAAACCCCATCTCTACTAAAAATACAAAAATTAGCTGAGTATGGTGGCAGGCACCTGTAATATCCCAGCTACTCAGGAGGCTGAGGCAGGAGAATCACTTGAACCCGGAAGGTGGAGATTGCAATGTGCTGAGATTGCACCACTGTACACCAGCCTGGGTGACAGAGCAAGACTCCATCTCAAAAATAAATAAATAAATAAATAAATAAATAAATAAATAAATAAAGTCAAAGAAGACAACCAGATGGACCAGGGCACTGACCCAGGGCTTCTTATTTTTCACAGATGGATGGTGACACTTCAAAGTGCTAGAGGATTTGAAGAAAAATTCATTGAGTCAATGTTCTGTTTTTAGATGTTCTCTCACCAAAGCCAAAGTTTCATGTCAAAATATCCTACATAGCTTTGTGAAAATGTGGATAACACTTTGAAACAATCAAGTTCAGTGGTGTCCCAGCTATAGAAAAATGATAAATAGCTAGCTTATATCTAGAGTTTAGTATGCAGCCTTCGATGCGTCATCTTGTGTAATCCTCAAAACAGTCCTAAGCTTTGGGCACTTTTCTTTCTCTTTACACATTGGAAAACTGCCTAAAAAGCTGAAGGAACACTCCTAGGGTCACAAAACCAGCAAGTAACAACAGTGAGATTTCAAATACAGGCCCAATCTCCCCAGTGTGTTCTTAACACACTTCCTCCTTAATTCCTTCCCGTAATTATTGCATAGACATAAATACCTAACAGTTTAAAAGATGCTTTCAAAAGCACACATATATTAGCCTAAAATGATCAACTGGCCTCCTGAAAGACCTGTATTCACTTTGTTCTCCCTCACTACCTTATTCTCTAAAACAATGATTTCTAACAACTTTCCTATTTGTAAGCTACTTATGAGGACATCCACTTGCTTCTCTACTTGTATACAAAACTGCTCATAAGTAATACATCTTACACTTATTTGCCAATGTGTAAATGTTCAGATGTTTAAGGGATGTTATCTCTTTGGTTCTGAGGAGCTAGAAAGTAACCACAAACTTGGAAAATCAGAACGAGACTTGCTATGAGAGATGAATAAGCAAGTGATATTTACTAATTGATATTTTGATTTTCTCTAAAAGTGGAAACATGGCCTAGCCAAGAGATGATAGTAAGAGATGTAAAAATAGGGAGAAACATTCTACCATTGTGGAAGAGAAGGCTGGAAGGGAAACAAGACCTGAACGCCTCTGCTAAAGGCAAGATGCCAGTTTGTGAACTGTTCCCTCTGATGTTTTACCACATCAGAGAAAGAAATGTAAACTTCCAAAATGTAAGCCCTAGAAACACTTGGGTTTTAAACTTACATTACGCTGAGGTTAGAGGTGATGACATACATAGCAAATTAAGTCTCTAGACTTACATGATTTGCAGGGAGAGCTGTTTGTGTGCTCTACAATTCGGTTTTCATCTATTCTCAGTTTTAAAGGGCCCCAAGGATATTTGACGTTCGGCCGCATTTCAAAACGACCTTCTTTTCCAAAGTAATCACCAATAACCTATATAGAGGCAAAAAAACAAATAAGACAAACCGAAAGGTCAAAGGAGGCACAAAGCTCGCAGTCTTCCACAGCTATTCCCCAAAATGCACAGCCTGATCTAAACTGGCTGCCTCTGGGCATTTCATCAAATCACCGTCTCCAGGGCAAGGACAGCAAGTGCTTCAGAAAAGCGCGGTACATTGGGCAGGTTCCTCGGTTGTCCACACTGATGGTCATTGTGTGTTCTGGGGACTTTGTAAGTCAAGATTTGAAGTCGCTAATGGTGCTCTCAAGAGGGCATTAAGAGCGGTCGTGCCAGAGCAGAAGGAGGTGGGAAGTGGTGAGAGTGGTGCCCCCGGGCCCTGCCCTCACTGAAGGCCCAGCCCTGTCAGCGCTGCCCCTAGGATTCTTCAGTCACTACCATCTAGTGGAAAGGAATAATCCTGGAATTCCTGGCTTTTGCTTTGTTCATCGGACAGGGCACTGTCCCACCCACCTGTCCCAGAGCAGCCCACCCCGTCAGCCAATTGTAAGGCCCAAGTTACTTTCAGGGACATGTGAAGGACAGCCAGGGTCCACTGTATACCCGATTTAAGCGTATTGACAGGTACCCAGCCTCACAGCCCTCAATTGTTCAACATATAATGAAAGAGCGTCTTTCAGGAACCTCCTGTTTGACCGCTTCCGGTTGCCAGACTTCCTTCAAGAGTTGCACTCTCCTCTCTGATGAATCCACCCTATGTGCACCCCCATTTCCAGGCTGAATTCTCTTTCTCTTAGTTGGCTCCTCTGGCCCCTGGAAAATCGCTATTCTGTTATGGTTTGATTCCATGGTTATCCCTCAGTTTCTGGTTAAAACGATTGTTTGATCAGTTCCCCAAGCCCCACTCTAGAAGTGCCTTCCCACCCAGGTTCTCGGGAGTCATTGCTCTTTTGTCTGAAAACAAGCATATGGCTCCCGAGTGGCTGGGGACATCTCCTCCCCTTCTCCTGACCAAGGTGCAGCAGGTTCTCACAGGCCACGTCAGGTCTAGAGGAAGCCTAGATTGCCACCAAAATATAACAATCGCTGGCGTGCACTGGGCACTTGCCAACGGCTTTATACACCTTCACCCCTGCAACCTCACAATGGACTCTGATGAACTGTCGCTACCCACCTTTCCCAGGGAGGAACCAGGAATACAGATGAGACACAGACCACTCAGTGGGCAAAAAAAATCATTCATTAAACGTAGCGAGGGTGACTCCTGCTGCTTCAGAACTTCCCACAAGAGCCAGGCATCTATTAGGTTGGTGCAAAAGTAATTGAGGTTTTGGCCTTTAAAAATAATTTAAAATAATGGCAAAAGCCGCATTACTTTTGCACCAACCTGATACATACAAAGAGGAAAACAGCAAGTTCCATATGCCAGGTCCCATGAAGGGCACCAGAGCGATGACCCTGGGAGCCAGCGATCAAGGAAACCGAGGAAGTGGCATTCTTTGCTGAAGCACTGCATATTTGTATAATTGTATATGTATATTTGTAATTTAAAATGTAGATAGTACTTTTCTAGGTTTCATTTCATCTGTCCCCATAACAATAATCATGTGACATCAGCCAGGAGGACATGATGATTTCCATATTACAGATGAGGAAACTGAGGCAGAAAGTTCACACTCCCAAGCACAGAAGACTCATCTTTGTGTCCGGGGCACTCTTTTTCTCTTCACGATGTTATCCTGAAACTACATCATCTTTGGAAATGTGAACACACATTGAGTTTGCAACCACCCACCCTCCCACTCCCCCAGAAAACTCAAATCTTAAGGGAGGAAACTTAGTTTCACTTTACTGATTTCATCCCAACACCCTCATCCATAAGACTAAGGTGTGATTCTTCGCCACTTGAAGGGTAGGATTTCCTCACTTAAAATAAACATGAAACCATCTCCTGAAGTCTTTCTTGATACCCTCAATCAAAAGTTGAGGTTTTTCAACTCATTTTTATTTGGAAGCTGCATTGGAGACAGCTCTTTGGCCACCAGAACAAATGCATTCCTCAGAGTCCCCACGAGCAGAAGGAGCAACTGGTACAGAGGTCTCATGTGCTCACCTCCTGGGTGCCCGCCTCCACATCAGTCATGGCAATCACAGAGAAATCCCCATACCGGTCTCCATTGGCATCTATGGACACCTGCCCAGCGATACCTACAGGACCAGAAGCGAAGAACTCAACGTTGGTTACTTAAAATACCTCTGTCTGCCAACAAAAACAAGAGAATGAATTGGCAGGATTTTTTAAACAAACTCATGCCACAGGGAATCTCATCAGACTCTGAGCATTTTTGTTGGCATTTTGGAAAGACATTGTAATTTCATCTGCGTCTGCATTCCTAAATTCTTAACATTTCTCCATTTAAAAATGAAAAGAAAAAGAAATAAATGATCTTCTTTGGGGAATATGTTTGAAAAAAAGATTAAGGCTAATCCTGAAAGCAGCGTGCTTATCCCAGAGTTTTGTATTAATTTTTTTTTTAATTGCAGAGTTAGAAGTGGAGGTAGGGTACATTTATAGATTTGCCATGGGTTTGCGTTATCATTGGACGAACATTATAAAAGAAAAATCATTCCAGGGCCAGGACTCAGTGAATGTGCTTTTTTCCAGGCTGCTTTAATACACAGGAGAGCAGCGGGCCTGCTTTGTGGGTCACCGGGGCCAATAGCTAAGAAAAGCTATTCTTCTTTATCCCGGTTGAGTTCTTCGCTGATTGTTTATCCAAACATTCTCTGGACGCTTAGTACTGAATTAGTGCCGCAGCTGAGGCAAAGATGAATTGAACACATTCTCTGCTCTAGAGAGGGGCAGGCAGGACCGGGGATTTAGCTTGTTCACACCAGAATCTAACCACTTGCATTCAAATACCAGTTTCTACATTTACATAGCTCCGTGACTTTGGACAAGGAACTTAGCCCTCTAAGCCTCAGTCTCCACAACTGTAAAATGGGCATAATAGTACCTCCCTACTAAGAGGCTGTGGAGAAGATTAAATGACATAAAACAAATAAAGGACTTTCAGCACATTTAAAGGAAGTTCATTGTTTTCATCTACTGTCATTATTACTATCACTGTTATTACTACTATTTATTTTATAATTACTCTTGGTAGAGTAGACCTGACTGTGCCCACATCACTCAGAGGAGGAGCCAGCACATCAAGCTGGAGAATCAGGGAGGACTCAGTGAAAGAGCAGGAATTTCATAGGGATGTTGGAGGAAGTCTGAGATTGGGCAAGCAGTAATCAAGAAGTGGGAGAGAGGCTGAAAGGCTGGCCTAGATGTGTCTACCAAGGCACAGAGGCCTCAAGAGACCAGAGGAATTGTGAGATTTCTGGGAAGATGGCCCATGTGGAAAAAGGGAGTCAGTGACATATAAGGCTGGAACCGGGTGGCCACAGAAGGGAGGACCTTGGGTATCCACTTGCTTTGGCCTATAATGGTGGCTCAGAGCAGCTAATCAATAAAACAAATATATGTTATTGGCTGATATTAAATATGTCTGTGTCATAATTCTCATTCACTGAATAAGAGATTGCATACATCAGCCCCATTTTAATTAACTAAAAGTTATTTCCTTTTCAGCTGGGGAGAGTTTGGTGTAATTCTTAATTGGCCTTTCTATTGATTTGGTTCTCTGATTTGGTTCTCTCTGGAAGTACTGACTCCTCTAGTAAAATGAATGTCTGGGAAAAAGGATCCCAAGGGAAAGTTCCATCCTCTAGTGTGGCTTGGAGAGGGCAGGTATTTAGGTTTACTGTCCTTTGGGTTGTGGTTTGAAGGCCCACTGATTTTTCCAGACTTTGGTCTACTTTACCAGAAACAGAATGGAAGCTACCATTCACTTTGATTTTTTTTTTTGTCTTCTTAATATAGACTGGTTACAAAGGGTACACCTACCATAAACTTGTGTATCCTTGAGAGCCTATAAAACTCTTAAGTGATAAATAGGCTTAAAATATATAGCTTTTGGCCATCCAAAACCATTTGTCATTCTGTTGAGAGGTGTTTGTGATGTTGTGTCCTGCTAAGTATTTTGTAGAGTATTTTATAAGATGAGGTGGCCCTAGTAATTTAAGACCTATTGTACCTTTAAGCTATTGCAATTCTGCCAAGAAATGGGGTGAGAATCCTCACGGTGGCCAATTAGCAAAGTGAGACTTCACCTGAGAGTATCGTACATAAGGTGAGATTGTCAGGCTTACAGCAGAATTTTCCTGTACATAAGTAATGAGACTTTCCACCCCACTTCTATTTGGCTGTAGTAGAGCTCAAAGTTTAAGCCACAGTCCTATTTACCTTGTCACTCTGACCTCTCACACAGAGGAAATCCAGCTTCTTCCCAGCCATTTATTGAAATGAGAGTTGATCACAGGTTTCATGGCAATAAAAGCCAAATTTGTCAAATCACAGCCAGAGTATTTTTCCCTTGACAACTTAATGGTCACCGAATGGTGACCAATAAAGTTAAAATTGTTTTTAATTTTAGGAAGGTTTGGGTTTTTCTTCATACAGATACCTTAGAGTTCTTTTTAGGCCTACCCTCAGATGGACCATTGTTTAGCAAATAAAATGGGCTCTCCAAGCAATTCAAGCCGAAAACTTACCTTGGCCTCAATTATCTTTACATTTGACCAAATGAGATTCTAATTGTAGACTGAACTGCACAGTTGGTTGTTTCAGGACTCATTTCATATTGCCTGTGTAGACCTGGCCTTAGAATACAGACATCAAGATAGCCTATGGGAAAACTGAGCCCATGCCCTGGCTCTAACCAAAATACATTCCAGCCATCATGGGCACCTACCCTCCCCTTCACACCCTCCCTCAGTGGCGCCCTCCAGCATCCCCCAACTCTGGCTCCTGTCCCTCTGTCAGAAGACCAAGAACAAATGACCACACCACGTGGTGAGTAATAGCTAAGAATGGGATGTGGCCGACCAAGGTCGTGTCCACAGATGCCAGGTTCTCAGTGTATTGTGCAAAACTTCTGGGAAATTTGGCTCTGTCCTAATATGCCCCCGGAATTATCCTGTTGGATTCCAGCTCCTCAACTGAAGCAGTCAGAGGTAAAATAAGATAATCCCAGATGTGTACTCACCCATGAACTACAATCTGTCTAATGCTAAGGGAGATGTCACTCCGGTTCTGAGTAAGACATGGCATCCACTAGAGAGAAATGAAATCTACCAATTGCCACCATAGAAACTGCCCAGACAACTCTAGATGGAGCTCAACCTCTCCCTACTGTCCTGTCCTGCCCTTTCTAAGAACTGAGGACAAACCGAGGGACAGAAGTCCCAACTGAAAAAGAAATGTGCCCCAAATCTAAACTTGGCAGTATTTGCTCCTGCCATTGAAAAATGTCACTAGTGTGATTACAAATAGATATAGGCATACCCCAGTGCATTACAGGGCTCAAAGGAAGAGCAAGCACTATGTAAAACTGAAAGAGCTCTTGTCAGTCTTTAACTAGACCAACCTCCTTACCACACAGGTGAAGAAAGAGAAGCTCAGAGGACAAGGTTACTAGTTAGTGGCTAGGATGCACTGAACCCTAGTTCAGCGATTTGTACTTTATGTACCCGGTTGTCAAGTGATACCCATAAGCGTATCTACTTTATCTCCCACATAGCAGCCATAAGGACCCCTTTTAACACACAAGGCAGATCGTGTCACTCAAAAGCCTCAGGTGACTTTCTGTCTCACCCAGGTGGAGCCCAAAGACCTCAGCAAGGCTTGCAGGTCCGCATGATCTGGCCCCATTACCTCTCGGGCTTTGGCACCTATCACACTGCCTGTCACACTTGGTGTCAGCCACATTAGCCATCTTGCTCTCTCTGGGGACACTCCATAGTCTCCCACATGCACTCAGGATCTCCACGTTTACCACTCCCTCTGGAATGCTCTCTCCTAAACAGCTACAGAGCTTCCCTCACTTCCCTTGGGTCTCTACTCAACTTCACTCTCACAGAGACCTTCCCTGACCACTCTAAACTAGCAGTCCCACTCCTCCTTGCCTGGCATTTTCTAGCTCCCTATCCTACCTTATTTTATAGCTCTGAAAGGTATACTGCATTCATTGTTTGTTGCCTGTTCCCCCCACTGGCATGTAAGCTCAACTGATTGCATGAAATGTCTTTAGTTCACTGCTGAATCCTCAGCACCTTGAACAGCACCTGGTACATAGTAGGTGCTCAATGAACATTTGTTGAATGAATAAATGAATATAGAGTTGATATCTGCAAGGCTCCAGTAGTGAGGTCACTTCCATATTGAGTTTCATGTTCATTTTCTTTGAGTGTTGGCGAGGTGAGAGGAAACTAGCACTCTTAAATACACTGTTAGCAAGAATATAGATTAGCAGAACTTTCTGGAAGCTTTTTGGCAATTTCTAAGCACTTTAAAAAGCACCAACATACTTTTGGACCCAAAAATCCCACAAGTAGGAATGTTCCCTGTTGGAAGGACTCACAAAAATTCTTCAAGATGTGCAAGAGGCTTGTGACAGCATATTGCATAATAGCAAAAATTGTAAACAACTTTACAAGTGTCCATCAATAGGAGATTGGTTAAAGAAATTCCTGTACAGCCATACAGTAGAAAAATATGTAACTGTCATTTAAAAATGTGTTGGATCAGTGAGTTCTCATATGGAAAATTCTTTAACTTGACATACAAGTAAAACACCTAAGATGAAAAATAGCATTCATACTATGACCCCTTTCATGCAAATTTTAAGATAAGATATACAAATGCATATGTGCTGGCAGAAGACTTAAAATATTTGTAGACAGAATCATAGGAAATCGTTAATAGTGATTCACAGTGGGGAGAGGGGACTAGGTTGGGAAGGAAAGATTTTACCTCTCAATTTGCACATTTTTGTACTGTTTAAATTTCCTAGCCAAGCATAATCTTATCTTGTACTATTTTTCAGTGCCAACAGAGGTTGCTTGAGATGAGATTATGGGCCATTTTTTGTTGTTTTCCTATACTTCCCTGTTATTAAGAAAGCTGGGGAGGCCAAGGCGAGTGGATCACCTGAGGTCAGGAGTTTGAGATCAACCTGGCCAACATGGTAAAACCCTGTCTCTACTAAAAAATACAAAAATTATCCAGGTGTGGTGGTGGGTGCCTGTAAACCCAGCTACTCAGGACGCTGAGGCAGGAGAACCATTTAAAACTAGTAGGTGGAGGTTGCAGTGAGCCGAGATTGTGCCACTGAACTCCAGCCTGAGCAATAAGAGCAAAAACTCCATCTCAAAAAAAACGAAAAACAAAAACCAAAAAAACACAGGGCTCGACTGGACCTGCTAATCATCTCAAACCACCAGGTTTAACTGTGACAGTTAATGTTTTCTGCGTTTCACAGAAAACCAACATAGTCTGAACACATGAATGTATGTCTGGGATTAATACTAGTTTTAAAATCATCACAAAACTCTTCACAAACTGATTGTCCTGTCATGCATGAGGCTTGTGTTCAATGCAATATTAAGAAGCATAGAGCTGTTACCTAAATAATCAAGAGACAAGGCCTTTCCTCTTTCAGTGGGGCTTTTTCAAAGCACTTTCACATGTATTAACTCATTTAATTGGCACAACAAGCCTATGAGATGGGCTGCTTTACAGCTGAGAAAAGCAAGAAGCTGGAAAGGCCTCACAGCTGCAACTGTAAAAACTAGAACCAGAAAATCAGCAGCTCAATTGGCCCCATGTCATTGCCTTATAGATGGAATCTCTACCTTCAAATGTTCTGTTCCAAGTCTGCTGTATAATTTTCCCTCCATCCTTTTTGCTGTAACCAGCTCTGAGTACTTCATGTAGAGCCAAGACGTAGAGGAGGATGGCATCGTGGAATCCTTCAACAAACATGTTAACCTGAAAAGAAAACCCCAGATGCGTGAGCCAAAATACCACATGACTGACTCATGTCAGGAATAAGATGAGCAATCCAAAGGGTTAACAAGTTAGACTTGAGGGCTGTTAGCCATGGCAGAGGTGGGCAGAAGGGGCACTAACAAGAATCATGCCATGACTTTCCTGGCATGGCTTAGAGGGGAAAGCCCTTCCCCAGTTGGGGAATTTGGAAAGCCTATTACAGAAGTCAAGAAAACTGTACCTGTTAACCAGGTCAAGAATTTCAAGTGTGCCCACCTTTGCCAACGGTCCCTTTTGGACAAGTCCCCTCCTCCTTCCCCACATCTGCCTCTATCTCAAGCTTATGTGAGTTCAGCCTCCCCTTTGAGGTCTTCTCCATCTTCAACAGCCCCATGATCTCTTCATGCTCTGAATGTGGAGCATAACGAAAGAACAGTAGAGATCCATTCGTTTATATTTAACAACTGTTGATACCTACTGGAGTGCTGGTGCTATGAGTGCAAAGAAGAGTAGATGCTGCAACTTCTGCCTGTCTGCCTAGCATTTGTGTCCTCTCTCCCATTAGTAAAAATGTCTTAGTTTCTCTTTCCAATTTGTGTTTTGAGTACATCTAACCACTCCCTATCCCTACTCCCTGCCAAGCTCCAAGGACAGGAATGGAAAACAGGCTTGGACTATTGGTATATCCCAGTTGAGCCCTGACTCAAGTAAGCTAGCCCTTGCCCTCAGGAAACTTAAAAGTTTCCTAAACATAGACACTGGTCATGTGGATTGGGGGAAGTCACTTCATCTATGTGAGCTTTGTTCTTTTCATCTATATATTGACCATGAGACTAATGCCTGCTTCAAGAGGTAGTTGCAAGAAGTCTGTTAAATAAAATGCTTGGTATTATCATGCCTGGCACATATCAAATTCCCAACTAACAGAAGTCAATGCTATCATGATATTTTATGGGCTTTAAAGTGTTGGAGTCTGTGCTGTGTTCAAGGTCTGTTCAGAATACAGTACAAATACCAAAATGGGAGTGGTCAGTCTGATGGGTTGGAGAAGGGCGGGAAAGAGAGGCTTAACAGCAGTGAAAAAAGTTGAACTGAGTTTTGAAGATGAGGAGATGTTTCTCAGGTGGGGGCAAAGACACAGAGTCAGGGCACATTCTGACAGCCTGGTGTATTTTGGGAAGTGCAAATGTTTTGCTAGGCTGGGAGCAAGAGAAACAGGGTCACACCAAGATGGAGAGGTAAGGAGGCTGGAGAGGTAAGGAGAGTCAGATCATCGAGAATCTGGAGACCACACTGTGGAACTTGGACTGTCTTCAGCAGGCATCTAATCACTTTAGTTCACCCCTTACCTACATTAAAAGCAACCTTTGATAAATCCTAATACCACATTTAAACCCATTATAACATTCATTGGATATGAAATGAGCAGATTCTATCTTGAAACACCAAGAGGCTTACAAACAAACTCTGTACAAAAAGTACAAAAAATCCAAGCCTTCTCATTTCAGAAGAAAGTGTCAAAGACAAAATGCCAATGATGCAAAATGAACTGGGCATTCTGTAGATAGCCACCTGGCATGGCTTAGTGGGGAAACCCCACTACCCGCCCCATCTCTAGAAGGAAACCTCGTGGGAAGACAGCTGCAACTGACCTTCTGCATCACCTGGTTCAGATGCACAAACATTCACAAGACACAGCTCGGTGACTGGATCTACTTAACCTTATCCCACCCCTAGGATGGGAACTCCTGTTTGCATCCCAGAAGCAGATATTTCATGTTTGCCAAAAACTAGTGCTGAGAAGCAGTTTAGCATAATGGTTAAATATCCTGGACCCCCTTTCCAGCTCTGCCACTTCCTAGTTGTGTTCTGGTTTCCTCATCTGGAAAATGAGAAAAATAACAGTACCTATCTCATGGGGATGCCGTTAGGTTTAAACAAATGAAAAAATGTAGAAGACTTCAAAGAGTGTCTGACAGAGTCAGCATTCACTGTTAGCTTTTGGTGTTGTGACGCTCTAGAGATGGAGAATTATTAACCTAGAGATCCTGCTTAGTTTCAAATTCTTAACAGCAGTATTCAAAATATAAGTGATTTTCTTACAGGTATCATGTGTGTTATTGGCCCATTTTACACTCAGTGGGAGAGAAGGCTAGTGTTCATGTTGTTTGTGCCCCAGACAGTAGACAGTTCTCTTTGTTCCACAACACCAAGCTCTTAATTCCACCCTAGTATGACAGGTGCAGTTCAAGTGGTCATCTGCTGACCCTCTGCAAGAGGTGGAGAGTGGGAAAGACTGATGATTTGCAGGAGTTTGGAATTAGCTGGCTGGACACACAGTCCAGTCTTGGCCCTGATGGGTTACTTAATCTCTCTAATCTTCCATTTCCTCATCTGTTAAGTGGGGGTTTAGTACCATCTCACCTCAGAGAGCTCTTCTGAGGATTGAATGAACCAGTGCACGTAAAACACCGCAAACAGTTCCTAGGACCATGGAAGCAACTGACAGATTCTGACTCTTACTCCTAGCTGTCAAGCCTAAGTGTCAGAGTGAGTGATTATTTTCTCACGCAAAGAAAAATAATGTAGAAATAACATCTACAAGTCAAAGACAATTTTCTGCTCATTTGGCTATGCCAATTTGATTTTCCAAAGGAATATGAAATTTCCACTTAGGCCATGAAGTCATTATGGCTTGAGAAAGTCTTCATGCTGATGAATTTTAATAAGTGAACTTCAGCAGTATAATTTCATTCTCAGGCCACATTTTTTTAAAGTTTAAGGTCTATCTTCTCTTTGATAATTTTACAGAAGCCAGCCAGCTCCAGAGGAAAGTCAGAGAATCACAGAGTCATGGCCTGTGGGAGATGCCAGGTGCCCTCAGAAAGTTCTGATCAAATCCCCTTGTTACTTTGAAGACCCGAAGAGCATTGGTTGCTCTCCTCAGCCTTCCTGCATTCTGTCCTTGTTGTACAAGGGTTGTGCCCTGCAAGTTCCTTGTTCCTGCGGTTCCCAAGACAGGCCTTGCTTAAATTGTGAAGCACCAGCCACCAGGCATCACCCATCCCCCTCTCATCCTCCTCCTTCCGTCGCCTCCTCGAAATCCTAACCCAGGACCACCATGTTGATGTTGATCACCCGAAGCACTGACTGTGCGCCCCATTACCATATCCTGTCTTGCCCTTCCCCTTCCTTCCTTCTTGACATGCCTTCTGAGCTGCCCCGCTACAATCCAGGATAGGAAGAAAGATTATGTGGTGGAGAACAATGAACTTGAGTTATACTGAACTTGAGTTACTTTTGTCCTCGCAGGTTTGATGGTGGAAAGAAATAGACAGGCCCTGAATACACACCCAGTTCTGAAAATGCATTCTTGCTTGATTTGCAAATGGATCACAAAATATACATTCTTTCTTCTCAGGGTGGCTGAGTGTCTCCCTCTCCTGCCAAAATTATCAGAAGAGCTGCTGACCCCGCTGAGGTTTGCTGGCACCCGGCCCACTGCGGGGGAGGTTTCCTAACACCTACCTCACAGAACCTCAAGCCAGAAGCAAAGCCCCAGAGACCGGCTTTTCTCGAGAACATTCTCACATCTACACGTGATTTTTAGTGGGTGGAAAGCCCATTAGCACATTGTAGACACTGAAAATTAGACGTGCAAAATAAGAAAAAAATAAGGGAGAAAAAAAACCCCCAAGTATGAAGTTGGCTTAGGAACACTTCCTATTGGCCCTCCAGGCTGAAAGGAACAAGGTCAGCTAATACGCCCCCTGCCTCTGGACAGAACAACCCTTGAACCTCAAAGTCCAAGTCCTGACCAACACAGGTCATGATGCTGTTAGCTATCACAGGTAAACAGCTAGGATTCCCCCACGGAGCAACCTGTTCTAGTAATTAGCATCCCTTATTGCCAGGAAATTTTCCTTACTATCATCAGCCATAAGCCTTAACTAAGTTCCTACATGCAGCCATTTCTTCTACTAGATGCTCAGAAAACTGGGAGAAGAGAACAATGCAGTTTCCAATCTCCACCAAACAGCACCACTGCTACCTACAAACAGGTAGACAGCTCTGTGCATGCAAGTTGCTAAGTTGTGACACGGGCCTCGCTGAAAGCCATGCTCCAGGGTAATCATTATTGGTGCTGTTTATCAAATCAAGTGGCCTTCCAATGAGATGAAAAGCTTTCACCATCTTCCACTTATTCTTGCAAAAAGAAGATAGCATGACAAGAAGGCATAAACTCTCATTCCTTTCATTTCTATTTTCTCTCTTTCTTTCTCTTTTTTAAACAGAGTCTCACTTTGTCACCCAGGCTGGAGTACAGTGGTGCAATCTCAGCTCACTACAGCCTTGACCTACCCGGTTCAAGTGCTCCTCCTGCCTCAGCCCCACAAGTAGCTGGGATTACAGGTGTGCACCACCATGCCCGGTTAATTTTTGTATATTTGTAGACACGTGGTTTCACCATGTTGCCCAGGCTGGTCTCAAACTGGAGCTCAAGTGACTCGCCCACCTCGGCCTCCCAAAGTGCTAGGATTACAGGCATGAGCCACCGTGCCAGGCCCGTCATCTCCATTCTCTTGATTCTGTCCTCTGCAGCTGGCCAGAATGGAAGAACACTGTTTTTGCCCCGGCCTTCCTCTCTGATAGCACCTGCCAGCCACATTGATTTATTAGTGTTTTTTTAGATCCTCTATCATGGGGAGAGCTGAATAGAAATCAAGTTGTTGCTGCTGTTTATTTTCTAACTGATCATAAAGTGTTGCTGCTCACAGCCTGGCTCCCAACCATGGCAGCGAGCCACGTTGCTCTCACTTCTCTCTGGAGACGCAAATTCATAGTCAGATGAATTCCTCAATGCCTGCATTCCAAACAAGTCAGCATAGAACGCTGCGGGCCTCAGCTGTTCTGTAAAGTGAGAGTGGTCTAGCTCTTGGGGTTACTGGATATCTGAGAAAGGCTGTCAAGCTCTCAGACAGAGGCTGCTGGAAGAAAGT